TTTAAGCTTAAGATATTTGTGAGTAACTGACTTCTGATCCTTTCATTGGAATGTTTTTCTTAAAAAGTTTTTAGTTAAATTTTGATTTTCTTTGCCCTATTTTGTAATTTTCAGTATTCAAATTCATTTATTCTGCGATATAAAATATTATTTTAAATCAAGTTTTTGTATACAAAGCAAACAGGCCCAGGGTAATGGTATGGTGCTCACTTCGATACAAAAGGTCGCAGGTTCGAGACCCACCAATTGTTTTCAGACAATAGTCTTTGAACCAACTAAATAACGTTGAAAACGTTCTTACAACGACGATTATAAAATCATTTGTTCTTTTTCCTAATTGAACACTTTCTATTATAGAATAAAGTGCTCTAAAGGGAAGGATAAGATGTAAAGTTTGTATCAATATTTCATCACGGAAAAGTTTCTTTTCAAGTAACTCGAAACTTTTCCTTGAAGTATGTGTATGTGCGTGAAAATGTATAATAATATTTAAATAAATGCATAAATAATAAATATACAATTGAGTGATTGATGGTTATTAGTATCGTCTTCATTCCTCCTATTAAGGCCAGCATAATTTCCAATATCGGTGTTCGCAGTATACTGTGGGCCTACTTGATGAGCATATCAAAACTTGGTTGGATGCAAAACACGTCTGTGAATCTTCACGTGGATATCTTGCAAGCCTCATAACCGCCGATGAATTAACTGCTTTCCTCACATACATGAAGAATCAGACCGGTAGATACATGATCGGATTGTCACGCCAGGCGAATTTGGATCCGCGAACACATGCTAACTGGAAGTGGGAAACAGGAAAAGAGTTCGATAATAATATTCCGTGGGATTTAGGAGAGCCTAATGAAGAGATAACTGTACATTCAGGGGTTAGGGTCGACATCAACACTGGTAAAATCTATGAGACTAATGTTAACGAGAATGTTAATGATAGGAGGACAGAAGGATATATCTGTGAATTTGGTATGTATTCTAAATTAAATTATAT